CAGTAAGGTCTGGGACTCCTGGGAAGGTCATGGGAAGGGTTGGACCGCCTGCCGGCGGGGGAATCGCTCAAGGATGCGTTCCTCTGGTACACCTGTCAATTTCTGGCGAAGGGGGCATCCCCGGCGGTGGTTGACAGGTCCATGGCGGCGATGGCTTTCTGGTTCAAGCTACATGGGGAAGAGGACCTTACTAAGACCTTTGTCATAAGGCAGGCACTGAAGGGGTACCGGCGGGGCTGCAGACGGCCTGACACTCGGCGCCCAGTATCGGTGCGAGTGTTGAGTGACCTGGTCGGTTTATTGCCTACTATATGTTTCGACAGGTTCGAAGCATCGTTGTTTCAGGCCGCGTTTCTGTTGGCCTTCTTTGGAGCCTTTCGGGTAGGGGAGTTGGTCAGTGCCACGAGGACTGCGGCAGGAGGGGTACAGGTGTCGGGGGTCCGAGTGCTGGAAGGGAAGGTGGTTGTACACCTGGCAAGATCCAAGACGGACATGTTAGGCAAGGGCCGAGATGTGACGCTGCGGGCCCTGCCGGGCTCCGCTTTGTGCCCAGTGGCCGCGGTGGCGGGGTACATGGCACGGAGGCCGGGGGTTGGAGGATCGCTGCTGGTACACGCGGACGGGTCTTCCCTCTCCCGGTTCCAGTTCACCAAGGTTTTTCGGTCTGGACTGGGAAAGCTAGGACTGAGGGTGGATACTTTTGGTACACACTCCTTTCGTATTGGGGCGGCTACGGAGGCAGCTCGGTTGGGTCTGGGGGATGACATAGTGAAACGGATTGGGAGATGGGAGTCGGTACGGTTCCGTTCATATGTGCGTTTGGGTTTATTGGAGTAAGATGGGGAAGGGCCTTTGGGGGGATCCCCGGGGGCTGGGTGCATAAGGGGCTGTTATGATCTGTTTTCCTTCTCTCCCCCAGGCCGTGTCGCATGGATCGTGGGCCATTCATTTGTCTTCTGGGCCGAAAGGAGGGCTGCAGCTCGAGCTCAGGGCCACCAGCTGGGCTTTCATCGGGACCAGTTGGCAGTACAGTGGTTCGGGTACAGGGGTTTTTGTTGGGGGGAGGTCTGCGAAAGGGTGTTCCGGATGGTAGCAGGCGGGCAACGGCCGGACCTGCTGGTGCTCCATGCGGGGGGCAACGACTTGGGCCTCACTCCGCAGCGGCGGCTAGTGAAGTGGATGAAGCAGGACCTTAACGGTTTAAGGGACCTACTTCCGGGGGTGATGTTGGTCTGGTCGGAAATTGTCCCTAGGAAGCGGTGGCGGCATGCTAGGGACCCGGAGGCTATTGACAGATGTAGGAAGAAAGTGAATAGCTTGATGGCAAGCTTCGTGCGGAAGCTAGGGGGTGTTGTAGTTCGACACAGTGAGTTGGAAGGTGGTTTGCCGGGGTACTACCGCTCGGATGGAGTTCATCTCTCGGCAGTTGGTTGGGATCTGTTGACCCTGGGCTGGCAGGAGGGCATAACTAAGGCTCTTTTTCTTCGGGGTGGCGGAGCTCAGACAGCTTAAGGAGTCAAGGTCTGAGCTTGTGGCAGGATAGGGAGCTGAAGGAGAAGAAATAGGCTCCCTAGGATGAACGTCATGGAGACGTAAAACTGTGGTCATTGGTGGTTGGTAGGTTCCGAGTCCTGTCGGTGGCTCAGAATCTGGTGGGGCAGGGGTATCGGGGTATACCCCTGCCATGGTTAATTTATGTTTGGCACTTTAAGTTGGTATGTTGGAATATGTTGATACGTATGTTATATGTATATGTATATATGTTATTTATATGGGGGTCATTGCCTGTTATATTAACAGAAGGATTCGGTTACGAGGGCAGAGTATGGGGGCAATGACCCATGTTTATTGTTAAAATTATTATTGCTTAATAAATTATTATTATTCAAGATTGGTTAAATAAAGCTGTGGACAAATTTTCCCATATACCTTTGTGTCAGTGAGTTTTTGGGTTGGGTATGTGGGAGGGTTGTCCTGGAGTCCGACTGCCCATATGGCGACTATACACCGGTCATGTAGCCCCATGTAGCCAAAGCGCAGCTAAGCGAAAAAAGGCCTTGACAGGGGTTAGGAGGCGGGCATAGGAGGAGGGAAGGAAGTAGGGAGTTATGGGTAAGTAGGCTTGGCTATTTAAATAGGCAGCCATTTTAAAGCCTTCACTTTTAATTACTACCTTGCTGAGTTTGTCCCGCCCACCCTCCCTGAATTTGGTTCGGACTTGGGGTTTTCCCGTTTTTTCACAGCGGCGGGATAGGGAGCTGAAGGAGAAGAAATAGGCTCCCTAGGATGAACGTCATGGAGACGTAAAACTGTGGTCATTGGTGGTTGGTAGGTTCCGAGTCCTGTCGGTGGCTCAGAATCTGGTGGGGCAGGGGTATCCGGGTATACCCCTGCCATGGTTAATTTATGTTTGGCACTTTAGGTTGGTATGTTGGAATATGTTGATACGTATGTTATATGTTATATGTATATGTATATATGTTATTTATATGGGGGTCATTGCCTGTTATATTAACAGAAGGATTCGGTTACGAGGGCGGAGTATGGGGCAATGACCCATGTTTATTGTTAAAATTATTATTGCTTAATAAATTATTATTATTCAAGATTGGTTAAATAAAGCTGTGGACAAATTTTCCCATATACCTTTGTGTCAGTGAGTTATTGGGTTGGGTATGTGGGAGGGTTGTCCTGGAGTCCGACTGCCCATATGGCGACTATACACCGGTCATGCACTTCAACGCAAAATTATATATACAAAAAAGTTTTCTTTCAGATGGTGTAAAAAATTTAATTAAAATAATGCTGGTTCCTGGCTTTTTGTCACCCTGTTTGAAGATTTTCCTCTATAACAGCATTAGAAGCAATATTACACCTAATATACAATATAACATACTCCATATGAGTGAAATCATCTTCAATATACAACAGAAGCAACTGTTATATGGGGATCTCCAGGCCTCATCTCACCCTCAAACTCAGTGAAACTCTGCATTTTTTCTCACCACTCTTATTATTATTATTTTCTAGCTCTACCATTCGAGTTCTTTCAATATAAAATTAGGAGAAAGCATGAAGTTTGCTGGTGTGGTCTCAGATTGGGCTATTTATTCATATCTATCCTTTATATATGGTCAGCATAGTGGTAGAGAAGTGAATCCTATGACATATTAACGTGTTAGCCCATCAATTTAGATTGATCGAATATACATTTTATTCAACAGAAAAATGTATGAAAAAGTTTTAAAACATGTATCGATCTCAATATTTTATGCTCAATATATATTTTTCTACTGCATGACCTTTCCTTCTTTTTTTTTTACTTCAGCTCTGAACACTTTCTTTGTTATTTAAAACTGGGCATGTTTGCAATCATGGAACAGAATTCATATCCCTTCATAGCTGTGTTACCACAGGCTGTAAAACCCCTCAGTCCTGCAAGCCAATGGATAAAGCTGGCACAAATGATAAAAAAAGTCAACAAATTGGGCAAGAGAAGGCGAGTACAAAGATCCTTCAGAAAGGCCGAGCTGTGCTTGCCAGACTTAAACAACCACAAAGCATTTGGCATTTCAAGCACGATGCTGCCATTTTATTGCTCAGTTTCTGCTTGCCATTTCCAATTCATGAGTTGCCAGAAGGATCAGTAATGTGTCCAATATAGTACTGCCAAATAATGCTTCCAAAATAGAGTTCCCAGCTTTAAATACAGGGGCTTATTCACTATATTGGGTATTGTGAGAACTGTATTTTTAGGGCTAAATAGCCAGATTCTGCGAATCAGATATAATGGAGATACTTTGGCTTAAATGTTACAATGTCCTATGTGCATTCACACCCTAAACACAGCACACAAACCATGCATATACTACTAAACCCTGCATACAGCACACAAACCATGCGTACACTACTAAACCCTGCACACAGCACACAAACCATGCATATACTACTAAACCCTGCACACAGCACACAAACCATGCATACACTACTAAACCCTGCACACAGCACACAAACCATGCATACACTACTAAACCCTGCACACAGCACACAAACCATGCGTACACTACTAAACCCTGCACACAGCACACAAACCATGCATACACTACTAAACCCTGCACACAGCACACAAACCATGCGTACACTACTAAACCCACGCGCCACACAAGCCATGCGTACCTTTCTAAAGCCCTGCGGCACTGTAAAACCGTAAAATTACACTACTAAACCCTGCACACACACAGCACACAAACCATGCATACACTACTAAGAGTACACACACAGCACTTTCGACTAATGCGTACACTACTAAACCCTGCACACAGCACACAAACCATCGCGACTACACTACTAAACCCTGCACACAGCACTGGAAACCATGCAGCCTGCTACTAAACCCTGCGCACAGCACACAAACTTCAGCCACTTTTACTACTAAACCCTGCACAGCACACAAACCATGCATACACTACTAAACCACGCACAGCACACAAACCATGCATACCCCTTTCCACTAAACCCTGCACACACAGCACACAAACCATGCATACACTACTAAATCCTGCACACAGCACACAAACCATGCATACACTACTAAACCCTGCACACAACACACAAACCATGCATACACTACTAAACCCTGCACACAGCACACAAACCATGCATACACTACTAATCCCTGCACACAGCACACACACCATGCATACACTACTAAACCCTGCTCACAGCACACAAACTATGCATACACTACTAAACCCTGCACACAGCACACAGACCATGCATACACTACTAAACCCTGCACACAGCACACAAACCATGCATATACTACTAAACCCTGCACACAGCACACAAACCATGCATATACTACTAAACCCTGCACACAGCACACACACCATGCATACACCACTAAACCCTGCACACAGCACACAAACCATGCATACACTACTAAACCCTGCACACAGCGCACAAACCATGCATACACTACTAAACCCTGCACACAGCACTCAAACCATGCGTACACTACTAAACCCTGCACACAGCGCACAAACCATGCGTACACTACTAAACCCTGCACACAGCGCACAAACCATGCATACACTACTAAACCCTGCACACAGCACACAAACCATGCATACACTACTAAACCCTGCACACAGCACACAAACCATGCATACACTACTAAACTCTGCACACAGCACACAAACCATGCATATACTACTAAACCCTGCACACAGCACACAAACCATGCATACACTACTAAACCCTGCTCACAGCACTCACAACCTGCACACAGCACACAAACCATGCATACACTACTAAATCCTGCACACAGCACACAAACCATACATACACTATAAACCCTGCACACAGCACACAAACCATGCATACACTACTAAACCCTGCACACAACACACAAACCATGCATACACTACTAAACCCTGCACACAGCACACAAACCATGCGTACACTACTAATCCCTGCACACAGCACACAAACCATGCATACACTACTAAACCCTGCTATAAGCACACAAACCATACATACACTATAAACCCTGCACACATCACACAAACCATGCATACACTACTAAACCCTGCACACAACACACAAACCATGCATACACTACTAAACCCTGCACACAGCACTCACACCCTGCACACAGCACAAAAACCGTGCACATAGAGCACGCACCCTGAACACAGCACTCACACTCTGTACACGTCACAAACACCCTACATACAGCACATACTGCGCACACAACACAAACACCCAGCACTCAAACTATGCACACATCACTTATACAATATTTACAGCACAAACACTTTGCACTCAGTGAGTCAGTACTCAAACTATGCACACAGCACTTACACCTTGCACAAAGCACAAACTTCCAGCATTCAAACTATGCACACAACACTTACAATCTGCGCACAGTATTCAAACTTTGCACACATCACTTACAATCTGCTCACAAAACTGCACAAATAACTCATACCCTGCACACTGCACTTACACCCTACAGATAACACGCACACAGCGTTCACACCTTGCACATAACACACACAACCTGCACACAGCACTCAAACTATGCAAACATCACTTACACCCAGCCCACAGTACTCTAGCTTTGCACACAACACTCACACCCTGCACACAACACACACCCTGCACACAGAACTCACACCCTAAACATAACACGCACACAGTGCTCACACCTTGCACGTAACACACATACAATCTGCACACAGCACTCACACTCCGCACATTGCACTCACGCTTTATTATACTAAGCACACTTTTTTGTTAAACACAACATTCTTCCCACAAATGTTTACTGAATTGGGAAACCACTCCTGAAAATGTTGTGCCTTTAAGCATATCTTGAGTATCAGCAGCCATTATTTAAACTTTTTAGAACGACATACGTTTGCAATTCTGGAGGGGGTCTACATTTTGGCCATTCCCAAGTCATGAATTTTATCCAATTCAAAATTCTAGTTGGGCTCTAAAGTAGCCCTCGTCCGCACAATAACTGAACTTCATTACCTTGTTCATCTGGGTTATGCTAACTAAAAATATTTATTAACTTTTAAGATTTAGAAATATAACATTTGTAAAGATAATAACATCTGATCTTACTCTATTATCTTTAGTAGATCAACATACATCCTCATAAATAAAACACATTTTACCTGTAGATGCATTCACTGCTATATAGTTGGCTGAGAATCCCTCGAGAGCGTTGTCTGAATCAGTGACAAAAAGTAAAACCATCCTATTGTTACTGCTGTTTATTGTTGGGGGGACAGATCTGCCACAATATCTGCAAGATGAAAACAAAAGATAGTTTTTTTAATTGTGTATTTGGCTTAGAGGAACACTGACAATTTGATATCATAATATAATCATTATGTTATAAGATATACTGATCAGCCACAACATTAAAACCATCTGCCTAATATCATGAATATCCCCATCTTGCTGCCGAAACTGCTCTGATGCATTGAGGCATGTACTTCACAAGAACTCTCAATGTGTCCTGTGGTATCTGGCACCAAGACATTAGCAGCAGATCCTTTAAGTCCTGCAAACTGCGTGGTGTGTCATCCATGGATTAGAATTGTTCCAGAACATCCCACAGATGCTCAATCGGCTTGAGATCTGGGGAATTTGGAGGCCAAGGTAACACCTTGAACTCATTATCATGTTCCTGAACAATTTGTGCAGTGTGGCAGGGTTCATTGCCGAAAGGTAACACTATTTCCATGAAACGGTGTATGTGGTCTACAACAATCTCTAGGTAGGTGGTACATGTTAAAGTTAAAGTAACGTCCCTATGAATGACAGGATTCAAGGTTTCACTGAAAATTTTTGCACAAATCAAACACTGCCTCAGTTGGCATAGTTTCTTCCCATAGTGCATCTGGCTACCATCACTTCAGAAGGTAAACGATGCAAACTCACCTGGCCATCCACCTGATCTAAAAGAAAACGTGATTCATCAGACCAGGCAATCGTTTAAACACTCATGTCCCCATTTCACTAGTTGACAGGGATCAACAAGGGCACTCTGACCGGTCTGCAGCTACGCAGCCCCATATGCACCTAACTGCGATACACTGTGCGTTTTGACATCTTTCTATCATGGCCAGCATTAAGTTTTTCAGCAATTTGAGCTACAGTAACTCTTCTGTGTGATTACACCAGACAGGTTAGCTTTCGCTCCCCATGTGCAGCAATGAGCCTGAGGCACCCATGACCCTGACGCAGGTTCACTGGCTGTTTTTCCTCTCACCACTTCTAGTAGGTACTAACCACTGCATACGGGGAACACCTCACAAAACTTGCAGATTTGGAGATGCTCTCGTTCAGTCTTTTAGTTTTCACTATTTAGCCCTTGTCAAAATCATTCAGATCTTTTAGTTTGCCCATTTTTCCTGCTTCCAACACATGAAATTTAACATAAAGCAGCGCAAGTGCCTCTAGTGACTGTCACTATAACAGTTCTGCAAACCTTCACTGTTTTACCTTGTATGGTTACATTTACAGGACCTGTGCACCCAGGCCCCTTCATTGAGATTAAGTGGCCTGGGTGACTTTAGTGGTCCTTTAAATATTTATTTTTGAATTTGAAGAATTAAAATGTGTATCTAAATCACACCGCCTTCCTTGCAAATTAATCCACTTAAAAAATCCTGTGATTTCTATTTCCCAAATATGTTTTCCAATAACACATTAGGGAAGCATGCAAACATACCTTCCAATCTTGTTCTCTGTAGCGATATTACCATCATATACTTCCAGGTAGTCATTTACACACCCATGAAAATGCTCCAGGTTAAATGATGTAAATGTCAAACGGATAAAATTTCCAGGTTGGATGGAGACAAACCATGTACAGCTGACACCATGAGGATACACCTCTGGGTACCGAGGGCTGGCAATGACACCTTCTGAAGCAGTAAATGTACCTCCACAACCTGCCAAAAGTAGATGTAACAGAGAAGTGACTTTGGGTGAACATACTAAGGAGTTTGACATGTAAGGTGGTTTAGAGAATGCCAGCAAAATTATTCATCTGAAGTGATCATGTTTTTATTCTACTGTCATTGGTTGGGTTTCATGATGATGTAAGATGTAAGTTTGTAACTTGAAGGGTTACTCCAACAGTGTAGGGCACTATTAATTAGATCACCCCTATGCTAGCAGTAAAACATGTAAAAAATCATTTTTTATTTATCTGCAATCCAGTACCAGGCAATGATTTACAAGCCCGAAGAAGTAAAGTTCCACAGGCGTCACAATGTAGGGTGAAGGCAAAACAATTAATTATTGGAGTTCAAAAAGGACAAAAAAAAATACAAAAGGTCTAGAGGCCTTAATCATTTTATCTTTGTTTGTCCTTTTTGATCTCTAATAAATATTTGTTTGCCTTCACCCTACATTGTGACACCTTTGGAACTCTACTTCTTCGGGCTTGTAAATCATCGCCTGATCACTGAAGTGGTCTTGGTGGTTGGAGTAGCCCCTTAATATGTCTGATACCAGATATGATGAAGTTTAGTCATTGAGAATCACCAAGTTTAAAGGTTAATAATGAGCAAATGTTCAGTACAATACAATTGCACTTGTTTTCAATATGTCTAAAACTGGAACTCATGCTAGGTCTGGGAAAAATAAGATTGATATAGATAGTACCGGATCTAAAATGTCACACTGGAAATAACTAAGCCACTGATTAACTCTGCTGTACTTGGGCAGGGACATTATGAAACTCTGGCTTAGTGGTTTAACAACGTGGTTCTAGTCTATGCCAGCTAGATGTAATTGCATAATCTAATGGTATGTTATTGTGAACCAGATAATTAGTAAATTATAGATTAGTTTGACAATATTATCAACATAAGTTTTCACAATGTCTATTACTATACCTATAATATGAAAGGTTTTTTTTCATGCTGAAAATATTTCATTTTGGAGTGTTGATTGATTACATTCTGATTTACAATCATGGTAAAACCAGATTACAGCCAATTTGTTATGCGCGCTAACAAACAGTTAACCAACTTCTTTGAATATACACATTTTCTATCTCTAAACATGTAGTGAAAAATAAAATGTCCCTACTTTAATAAAAGGAATATGAAGGTTTTTTAACCAATTGTAGTTGGGAAAGAATAATTTGTGTGAAGAAAATGTATAATAATCTATATATACACACTCCCCTAGAAATTATTTTAATGGAAATTAATACAAACTGAGACCATTAAAGTCTGATAAGCCCAATACTTACCTTGAATAATTGTGCTAAATGAAGCTGAAAACCCTTGATTATATTCCGAGGAGTCGGTGGTGAATTTTACATAAAGGGCTCTCTGTGTAGATTGAGCTGGTGGAGGAACCTCAGGACCACAGTATTTACTGATGAGTGTGGAGTCTGCTGAAGGACCATCCCTTACCTACAAGTTAACCACAACATTACTTTCTAATGACATTATACAATGAATGTGAACATCACTGAGGATGAAATACAAGCTACAGTATTCAAGTGGCAGAGAGTTCTGTAAACATTTCCCGTTTGCATGTATCCATACCTTGGAATTCTGTAATTTATCCCACTTTTTATCATCTTTATCAACGTAAACTTGACATAACCCTATCCATTTTAGGACTCAGCCTAACCATTTCCAGGTATGTTCTAACCTCGCTTTTTGTGTAAATCAACTTCAATTTTTATAGTGAGAGAAAGAGCAACATTGCTTGGGACACTAACCCATTAACATTCCCAAGTATGCATTATTAACGTGCGTATTTATGTTAATTTGTTGCGTGTGTGTAGATCCGGTGATTACATTACTTTGCAAAATTCATGGAGTGCTTGCTCGTTTAATACAAAATGTACCTTACCTCAACATAATTTGAGCTACAGGCTGCACCAGGTTGTATATTAAATGAATCAAAATTAATCAAAACCGCGTCTCCTATTGGTTGAGTAATAACCCATTCACAGGTCTTTTCACGAAAGTAAGCATTGGGATAAAGGGGAGTTTTAATTACTCCTTTTCCAGACAGCATTCCACCACATGCTAAAGAGACAATAAAGTATTGATAAATAATTGCTTTAAATTGGACAAATCATTAGCCTTTAAGTACTAAAAACAGGTAATTAATTTTCAGCAACTTTTATTTCCTTTTTTTACCTTTCACCCTACTGGCCCGAGAGACAAAGAAGGGGTTCTTAAACATACTCAGTGCTGATTACCCTGAGAAGGAATAGAAGGGGCATATACCCAATAGTACCATTCTATTCATCCTCTCAAGGAGGAACAAATTGCTATGTTCCCCCAGATGGAGTAAAAATGCAGAGTTCACAGAAAAAGATAGTGACTCCAACTAGCATATTGACTTTTCTCTCTCCTTTATTTAAAAAAATAAATAAAAATTAGCACCAAGTAGTACATTTAATCAAGACCAGTTCCAGTTGCAAAATTAAAAGATGATTAGGTTTGATGATCAACCAGAAAATTTGTAGGTCCTTAGGATATTCCAGGTGGTCAGACGCCTAAATAATAAATTATATTTTTCACAGTGATGATCTCTGGGAATTTATTGTATTCTTTCAAGGCTAATAAATGTCTATGTGCTTGTATTTTTGCTCGGAAATATTATATATTTCTAATATGACAATCCTTACCAACTTGATATAATGCTCTGAAACTCGACCTGGTGGCAGAAGCATCTGACTTGAATTTTATCCATAATGCGTTTTGACTCGATGTGATGGAAGTCGGAATCGAACTGTTACAGTATTTGTTGATGAGTGGAGCGGTTTCTGTAGCTCCATCTTTTATCTGAATAATAGAAAGGATATCTATAGTAAATGTCAGCACTTTAACCTTGCAGTAAGACATGGCATTATAGCTATGAGGGTTCTACCAAAGAAAAATTTTAATTTATTTAATTAAATATTATAATATCATTGTTATACTCATAACTATGGATTGCATCTAACAGTTTATTTAAAAGTGATCTATGCCATGGAAAGCAATGCTTCAGAAGCATTCATACAGTTTATTATGAAGAAACGAGGCTTCAATTCAAAATTTGGATATGTCAGATGTCAAGCGAAAACAAAAACAACAAAAAAAGCCCACAATCTATTTATCTTTAACCTACGAAAGGGAACCTATAATTATAAAAATAACAATAGTTTTTTTGGGACTATAGGTTCTTTTGTATCATTGTGTTTACTTTCCACTATCCTTTGCTGATAAATAAATTAAGTAAAATAAAGATTACCTCATTTCCACGCCAAGACTCCTTCACTGCAGCCGCCATACAGTTATTACAACTACTAATTTTGTTCCCCATAACTAGATGTCTTGCAAAAGGACAGCAATGATCATCACACAGGGATTCTATTTCTGAAAATCCGTAGTCTATGATGACATTCTTTATTTCCCATTAATAATTAATCCAAGATGGGAAACGTTTTATTACATTTTGAAAAGTAATTTTAACAACATTTTACTTTGTAACTATGCAATAATGATGAAGCCATGGTTAAAAATGTGATTTCCTATTTTTCTAGACAGAACTAAAATTAGCTCTCCATTGCAAGCCTGGAGGTCCAATACCTCTATGTATGTTAGAGAACATCCACCATCACTTTCCAATTCCAGGTTGGTAAATCTTAGATTGATGTGGTCACTGGACGATTGCCTAATAATATAAACACATTGTTTGCTCTCAGAGTAAGCATCAGGCCATGATGGAGATGTTATAAAACCTTCTGGGTTATTAAAGGTCCCTCCGCATCCAGGATCAGCTGGAATAAATAAAACCCACAAAAAACATTAAATGAAAGAAGATATAGCTACTTCCTAAATGAAAAGTACATTGCTAGATATCATTTGTTCACCATGTAATATTCAGTAGTCTACATAGACTCAGATTTGATGAAAATTGTGTAGATGGTGCTGAAATTTGGTAGTCTCGGCCAACTATGGCCTTGACTTAATATTTTTGGATACGCTTTTCAAATTATATATCTTTGGATACAAAATTATTTCATATTTTTAGTATTTTTATATTTTTTTTTATATATTTTTGTATGTGTTTGATATTTTAATGTTTTTTATATATTGATATATTTATTATGTGTGGTAAAAAAAAATTATCAGAAAAGCTTTCCCAAAAATATCGAGGCCTATGTTTTTCTTCCAAGCAATAAGTCAGATTAAGAAACAAGTGACCCTGAATTTTGGTTTATGCTGATTAGTGAGTAGACTAAAACTTATATTGAAGCTCGATAAGTTATTATAAATTGAATGCTATATTTTCACCATTACACTCCCATAAAACAGAACGTTTATACTCACCGGGTAATGTTGTATAAGTGATCTGAAATCCCCTATCGGACATTGAGCTATCAGAATGGAAATGAACCCAAGCGTAAGGACCAGATGTTATGAGTGGAACAGGTGACTGAGTAGTACAGTATTTTTTAAGGACTGTATCTTGGGGAAGCAGGCCATCTCTAATCTAAAACAGTGCGTTAGCAAAAAAAAAAAAAGTCAAACAGCACATTTTATTAAGTTCTTATTAAAATATTGATCATTGATATGTCTAAATAAATAACAGTAGAAAGAATATGATGTATCCTAACAAAATGTGTCGCAAATAATTGGTACACAGTCTTTTAGTTGTAGTGTATTGACATTTATCAGAGAGCTTGGATTTTTATTTCCACCGCCCTCTTCTGATAACTTATATATTGCTATTTTTGTTGTTACAAAGTTCTATGATGTTATGAGTCTCTAAATAAAATTTACATTATTTTACTGATGTAAAATTAAATGTATTTTTTTCATCAAGTCATAAAAAAATATGTAAAAATAGTGGATTTGACAGATGACAAACAGACAGACAAATATTTTCACTAATAATCAAACCACAAAAGTAGTTCTTTTTATATATATATTTACATAAACTCTATTCCTAGCCATTCTCAACTCCCTCTTAATTCTGTGTTTTTATCCACCTTTTCTCATATTAAATCCTTTCTCCTTATTTTTGGAGAAACGCATTCCTTTCAAGAGCTTCATTTACCCTGTATAAGTCAGTCACTCATTCAGTACTTCTCATTGCCTCTCTTTGTCACTCTCCCCATTACTCCCCCATTTCCACAAATGTTTCCTGATCTCTCCATTCCATAATTTCACTTAAAAATATCAAACCAGTTTAATTCCATTTGAATATAAGATCTTTAGATCACCATTAATGTTTATATCAACTTCATTATATTTGTTATATCAGAAAATGTACTAACTTAAAAAAAATCAACTTAGCCATATGAATGTGTGATATTTACCTCCAGGTAATCATTTTCACAGGTGTTGTGATTTTCGAGGTATAATGTTCCAAAGGAAAAAGTGATGGAAAGTCCCGGATCAGTGTTGATTGTCCAATAGCAGTCTCGATTCGGTGGATAGTTCCCAGGGTAGCCAGGCGAGGCAATTAACCCATACGTTCCAGAAATGTCACCTCCACATTCTGAATATAAAATGAAAGCTTAATGAAGGTTATTGTTTTTGTTTGCTAACTAATTGATTATTTACTTGCATTACAACTTGGATTGTTTATTTAGAAATTTTGAAATTGAAAATAGCTGTCTCCGGTGTAACAATTTATGCCACAAGTGATCTAATGGGGACTGAGCCTCAAAATTGTGGGGCCTACAAGCTACACGCTTTGACTCAACTGCAACCCCAATATTTACCTGGTGAAAGCCCACCACCAAGGTGGCACGTCTCTCTATGTCAATATCCTGTGTAAGAACCACACAGAGTATGAAGGAACATGTAATGTAATATGAGGTACTAAGGCCAGAAAGTGAATCACCAATGAAATCTTAACCTCCCCACACCAAACGTTATGCAACATTGGAGGGGCAAAATAAATAGCTTGTGTAAGGAAATCAAGTATAGCTGAACCGCTTTGATAATTCCTCCTGCAATGTCAGCGTCTAAGGTAGTTCTAAGCAATGAAGTCCATAAGAAATATAACAGCTTCCCAAGATAATCCCCTTGGTAAAGCATACGAATTCCCAAATAACAGTCAGAGTCCAGAATCAGGATACAAGTAGATCTGAGGTCTGGAATCTCCAGCCTGCTTTTTATTAAGGTTACAGACAAGAAGTACACACCCAGGGGGAGGCATTAAATCACCAATCAGGTATAGGTTACAGCCCATACCTCCCTCCCCTCTGATAAACAGTTAACTTAATTAAAACGTGCACTATTTTACCACAGTTCTGGATGTACCCCAAAAACAGGGGGTACACCTTTAAATTGGGTACCGCTGGATAGTTCTCATTTGTGGGGACAACATATCAAAAAATCAGTCCATTCGGATGAATGGTTCGGGAGTTATGGAACACTAAAGTTTTGACCGACCGCACGGACCATCTAGCCGAAAATAGTTCCATAAGTTTTGGCCCTGCGGTCGGTCTCCGTTTAGGCGAATAAAAGAGACGAAAACCCTGCCATCCATTCGCATCTTTGTGATCGTTGAAATCCCCATACGAAGTTGCATGTAACTACCGAACGGCCGGTGATTCGGTCGTTCCCGTGCGAAGTTCTGGATGTATGGAGGTCTCAGCGGTGTTCGCCTGTTTGCGTATCCGATTTTAGTTCCACGCGTTGACGGGCAAACACCGCTGTTCGCACGTAAAATGGCCGCGGCCACGTGTAAAGTGCCGAAATGGCGGCCATCTATATTTTACACAGGGAATTCGCCTGAATCCATCCGAAGGGTGGAAATGAAAGCTATATGCCGAATTCCAGCTGGGTTTTGGTGAATTAACTGTACAACAAAAGGTAGAAATCCTGATTAACGGAGTCATTTCTTCACACTGCTCCCCTATAAGTCCATAGGTCGGCATACCCGCCTAGACCCTGTCGGGTTGGCTTGGGGATGTCCGATGAAAGTACGTTTTTTAGGTGTCCAGTTCGGTCTGGCGGGACAGACCATCCGCATTCCCATTTTGTTTACCCGGACGGTACTGCATGGTAAAATTGTATGGTTGGAGAGCTAAACTCCACCGGAGTAGCCTGGGGTTGTCACCAGCTACCCGGTTGAGCCATACCAGGGGGTTGTGGTCGGTCATAAGGGTAAACGCTCGCCCATACAGATAGGGCTGAAGTTTCTTGAGGGCCCACACGAGGGCCAAGCACTCTTTTTCTACGGTGGCATAGCTGACTTCTCGGGGCAAAAGTTTACGGCTGAGGTATGCCACCGGGTGTTCCATGCCATCCGCCCCCACCTGGCTTAGCACGGCTCCCAGCCCAAACATGGAGGCATCTGTGTGGACAAGAAATTGTTTAGTGTAATCGGGTGCTGCCAACACAGGGGCCTCACTCAATGCCGCTTTGAGCTTCTGGAAAGCGTCCGTGCACTCTGGGGTCCAGGAGACCTGTTTGGGAAGAGCCTTTTTGGTAAGGTCCGTGAGGGGCTTGGCCAGGGCGCTATATTCTGGGACGAACTTTCTATAATACCCGGCCGTCCCTAAGAAAGCCAGTACCTGGGTTTTGGTCCGGGGTTGGGGCCAGTTAGCTATGGCCTCTACCTTAGCGGGCTCGGGGCGTTGTCTACCGGAGCCGACCCGGTGGCCTAGATACTGGACCTCGGCTAGGCCTACGTGACATTTGTCGGGTTTCAAAGTGAGCCCTGCGAGGTGGATTCGTTCGAGTACCCTGGACACATGACCTAGATGGTCTCCCCATGTGCGGCTATAGATGGCAATATCATCTAGATACGCACATGCGAAGTCCTGAAACCCCTCCAGGAGCCTATCCGCCATCCGCTGAAACGTAGCCGGGGCGTTCTTCATCCCAAAGGGCATCACCTTGAATTGGTATAGCCCAAAAGGGGTGACGAACGCCGACTTGGGGATGGCCGCAGGCTCCAAGGGGATCTGCCAATAACCCTTGCACAGGTCCAGGGTAGTCAAGTAGTTCCCCCCCGCCATACGGTCTAAGAGCTCATCTATTCTAGGCATGGGGTAGGCATCGGTTATGGTACGGTCGTTAAGCCTCCGGTAATCTACACAGAAGCGCGTAGTGCCGTCGCGCTTCGGTACTAGTACCACCGGGGAGGCCCAAGGACTTTGGGAGGGTTCTATTACCCCTAGCCGTAACATATCCCTTAACTCGGTGAGCATACTCTCACGTACTGCTTCTGGGATCCGATATGGCTGTTGCCGTAGGGGCGTCTCTCCCTGGGTTTCCACACGGTGTACCGCAGCGGAGGTATAGCCGGGGGTAGCGGAAAACATCTCTCGGTATCCCTGCAGCAGTTGAGTAGCCTCCCTTTTCTCCAGGAGGTCTAAATTTTGACCCAAGCTTACTTGGTCAATAGTACAAGGGGTGGTATCCAGTAAGTCCGGAAGGGGTAGTCCTTCACTATCCTCTGTGGCGGGGGCGCACACGGCGCCCACCTCCTCTGTTCTTTCAAAATAGGGTTTGAGCATGTTCACATGGAAGGCTTTGGTCAGCCTTTCATCTGAGCATTTGCTCACGATGTAGGTAGTCTCGCTAACCTGTTCCACTACCTTAAAGGGTCCCTGCCAGGCTGCTTGCAGCTTGTCTTTTTTAACTGGCCTCAGAGCCAGTACCTTCTGCCCTAAGTCCAGCACTCTATCCTGGGCCCTCCTATCGTACCACTTTTTCTGGTCCTCCTGGGCCGCCTGCAGGTTCTCCCGAACTGATTCGGTGAGGGCCCGCAGACGGTCCCGGAACTCCAGGACATACTGGACGATAGGGACTCCCCCCTCATCTGTATTGCCCTCCCAGTGTTCCCGTACGAGCTCCAGTGGGCCCCGAACTTTTCTCCCGTACAGGAGTTCGAAGGGGGAAAACCCAGTGGAGGCCTGGGGCACCTCACGGTAGGCAAACAGAAGGTGGGGAAGGAATTTTTCCCAATTCTTGTGGGACTCTGTAAAAGTTTTTAGCATCTGTTTTAGAGTGCCATTGAAACGTTCACAGAGCCCGTTAGTCTGGGGATGATACGGGGCGCTGAACAGGGGTTGCACTCCACAGCTCTGCCACAGTTGTTGCGTCAGGGTAGCTGTGAACTGCGTCCCCCGATCGGAGAGTATCTCCTGCGGGAAACCTACTCGGGTGAATATCTGAATAAGGGCCTCTGCCACGGTCTCGGCCTCTATATTGGTGAGGGCGACTGCCTCCGGGTATCTAGTGGCGTAGTCAACCACCGTTAGGATAAACTTTTTGCCCGACGGACTGGGGCGACTGAGGGGACCTATTAAATCCACCGCTACTCGGTGGAAGGGCTGTTCGATGATGGGTAGGGGGTGCAGCTTAGCCTTCCGAAGGTCTCCCCTTTTCCCTACCCTTTGGCATACATCACAGGTCCTGCAATAGTACTTAAGGTCCTGGGTGGCTCTGGGCCAGAAGAAGGTTTGCGTTAACCTGTCTCTGGTCTTTTTGACCCCTAAATGTCCTGCTAGGGGAATGTCATGACTGAGCTTTAACAACTCAGCCCGAAATTTACGGGGCACAACTAACTGTCTTTTTATGACCTGGGTAGCCCCCTGTCCCACCCCCTCGGTTACCCTATATAGCAACCCCTTATACCACTCAAATTTTTCGTGCGGGTTGTTCTCGGGGGTAGCGGCCGCGGCCTTCCTATAGCCTTCTAATGTGGGGTCAGTACGCTGTTCCTGTTCAAACCCCTGGGGGGTATCCCAGAAGGGTACGGGGGGATCGGGTAAGGGAGGTATTTCGAATCTTACCTGGTTTTCCTCAGAGTGCAGCGGAGCTTCCAGTCTGGCTTGAGCTCGGGTGGTAACCGGGTAGGCCTCGGCAGGGGGGTCTCGGGCTAGTTGAGAGGTTAGGCATCCCACATCATTTCCCAACAAAACCTCGGCGGGCAGTTCTTGCATAATCCCCACCTCCAGTTGTTTAGACCCGGAACCCCAATCAACAAGCATATTAGCGGTGGGCAGTTTGTGAATAGCGCCCCGAGCCACCCTTACAGCGACTGTGCGTCCGGTGCGAGCTTGTGCTCTGACCGTGTGGGGCTGTACCACAGTCAAAGTAGCCCCAGAGTCTCTCAGCGCCCGGGCCCCCACGCCATCGACGGTAATCCATTGGCGGTGGTGGTCCCGGTTGTCCCCCCCAGCTCGTACTGGATTGACCTCATGTAATACGCTCCACTGTTCTTCGTGGTTAAGGGCAGGGCCTGTGTGTTCCTGTTGCACACAGTGAGCAGCTGCCCTGGGTTGTTGTGGGGCTGGCCGTTCCCAGCTTCCCCGGTTTAAGCGAGGGCACTGATGCTTGTAATGTCCTGGTTGCTTGCAGTAGTGACACACTGCAGGAGG